GGTTTCCCGGAATAATAGATTATATTACGTTGAGGAGAGCGCAATTTCTTGTTCCGAGCAGTCTCAGAGCTGGACTTCAGTCCACCAACCAGAAAATGAGCTTCTTCACTCAAACTGACTTACAGCGAATCCTAGGGGAAGCTGGAAGTACGATCACTAGCTCCCAATGATATGAGCAACACTAGTTTTCGACATCGATCAGACCTAATTCCTAGAAAGATGTCCAACGATCATCCGAAACTGGGTTCAACCATCGATAATTTGGGATCTGCCTAAAACGTTTCCTGGCATACCCTATCTGGGGAGGACATCTGACTGAATTCCACCGATTGACGGGCCTCGAGGAACTTCATTGAGTCTCCCTGCCTCCCCTATGTAGAGTCTTATTCGTCGTGTTGGCGCCGGACGATTTGGCCCTCCTCGCCTCCTCTCGCCTCCTGTTCCTTCGTTCTTTGTCGAACAAATCAGCTACGTGCGTTGCAATGGCATCACTCAGTCTCGCACCTGAAAGTAGAGTCTGATTCCAATTCTCCCTCTGTATGACGGGCGGGGCTGGTCTTATCGTTGACGCAATAGATTTCGTGATCCTATGGAGGTCGACACAAGTCTCTGTCTGCTGCGGATCTGGAACATCCACGGCCCTCAGGACCTCGAGCAGATGTTTGATCCGACCGATAATGGACTCTTCGTCAGCGCTATCTGAAATTGATGATGTGCGAAATCAGCGATTTCTGGCTTCTGATCGACCTCTATTCGCGGAAAACGGGACTGTCCAAGCAAGTCGATATTTCTGATGCCCGACAACTTGCAATCCTGAACGAGAGAGTATCTTTTGGAATTCCGTCGAGGGACCTCAGTCTACAGGTGCGGCATGTTCTCTCAATGCGGGTGCCTGCGGACATATGGAACGAAGAGCCCACCAACCAACCTGATATAGGAGCGTTGAAATCCTCCATGCTCATTTCAATCGCTCGCACTTCGTCTTCCGCCGACGTGAGATCACACCGAGATGAGAGAAGCTCCCTGTTCATCACGAGACATTCGTGAAGTACATCTCGCATCCTCTTCAAGTGTTCCTCACGCAGACGCTTGACTTCTTCATCGAGTTTCTGCGAATTCTCCTTGAGCGTCCCGAGTTTCGATCTCAGGATCTCTCGTTTCGAAAGAAACTCTTGTTGTTTATTGTTTAGGTCGTCTCTCATTCGGTTGATTCGAGCATCGATAGCCTCTATTCGACCCGACAGGTCTTCGGGAGCATTTTCGAGGGAAGCGCATGAGGACGGGTCTCGCATCATTTGCACCTCTCCGCCAAGCTCCTCGTCCGGGGCTTGAATTTGAGACAGGACCGTCTGATGAAGTGGAGAAAGCGTTGCGCCATCTGGCTCGTCTTCCCGTTTCGTCGCTCCACGGGCGAGGATCCCTTGCAAGAGTTCCGATCGATTCCTTTCGACATTTTCCAGCAAGGGAGAAACGACCCTCTTCATGGTTGAGAGAGCCTCGTATTTCACTTTGAGTCTCTCAGTGAGCAATTTTCGTCTCATGAGGAATCTCAGATAGACCTCCTTGAGTCTGATCAGCCTACTTCGGGCTTCCCTCAAGCTTACATTCCTATCGCCACCCTCATTATCTTCGCGAATCCGATGCTCGAGGTTCTTCAAATTCTCAAGGTATTTGTTTGCGCGGTGTTCGAGTAGCCTGTCGGGTGCGGAACTTTATGTTGGAGAACCGAGATGAGACATCCAATGTATTGCCGTAAGTCAATAGAACCTCGGTTCGGCATCATCAATGCAGGGTATCTCGTAGTAGAAGGCGGAACTTTACCGGGCTTTGTTGAGGATAAGCTGAAGCTTTTCAGTGTCGCGAAGATATTGAGGTCTGATTAGGAGCCTCCTCAATTCCCACGGGAATCCTGGATACGACTCTGGATCGTCACCCCTTCGTTTGAGAATCGACTTGGGCTTCGGCTGTCCCCCATAGGTATCCATACGGTGTAGAATCCATTCGGGAGTGCCTTCTGCCGGAGCCTTCCTCTTGACTGAGCGATTCATCGCAAAACTAAAACATTCAAAATCCAGGGCAGATACTACCCGCGCTCAGCATCACAAACAATAATCTCCCGAAGTGCGAGAATCAGCTGTGCTTCTCGGAATGCATCGGCGTCGCTGCTTTGGTGTCGAATGCAGATATGTCGCGACCCTGAATCCAAATCCTCTCTCTCGGATGCGAGAGATTATTCATTCTTTTGTACGACTTCTCGATGTGAGACCTCATGGATTGGCGCTCAATAGTGAGGAGATGCGCGCTAGATATCTTGTTATATCGGAAGCTAAGCGATGAAACTCGGCGAGCCATGGTGCATTCTTGCCTTCAGGGCTGTTCCGATTCATACCCGCGCCCGTTAGACATCGCGTCGATTCGTACGATACTCGCTCGTTTCCACGAATTCTGAGCTGTATGGATCACAAAACAGGACGACCGATTGCGCGTCCCCTGGGTGGTTCCATGAATTGAAGATTTTCGTAAGATGCCGTACCTCTGACTCCCGGCTCGGAACGGGCACGATTTTTTGCATCGGTCCTATGTCTCCTTCCAAGTCGGCAGTGTATGTATGCTCGCATCGCAGTCCGATAGTTTTTCAATTCCGGGAGAAGGTCGAAAATATTGGCTAGCTGCAGATGGTGATGTCGACAAGATGATCCGGTTGTTCGAAATACTGTTCGACGCAACCGAAGGGAGGCGAGAAACACCAAATTCCGAGCCGTTCGACAAGATCATTCGTCTGGATTGATCTGAGCCCGACGTGCATTCCCCTGGAAATAGGCGTGAGCGAGAGAGGAGGACTCGGAAGCCGTCGATTCCCGACTGATAATCGCTCTTCGGAGTGTTGGAAGCCCCGATTCGGGAGTTTGGTCTACATCGAAGTCTGTTACATCGAAGCCTACGTTGAGAAAAGTCGGCGGAACCCGCCTCTTACAGAGACTCGCGACCGCTGGCTCTTGCGCAAAGTGCCATTCTTCTGTGAGCTCTGTAGAGTCTTGACTCTTGACCACCCAATCCGCATTTCCGTGTATAAAGACCTTGACCTAACCGCGGTCGAAAGAATTGAGTAAAAGGTGTTGAATTCTCCGAAGACTTCGACCCTGATCTCAGCTATTTGAGCTTCGATGAAAACCCCGAGCCCTGTATAGCGGTACACTCGACAGAGGCGGGGACAGACCGTCGACAGAATCTACCCAAAATTACGTATTACGGATGACAACGTTCCGAGTTCTGGTTTCGGTCGGAGCCGATACGGACTCTACATGGAGCTCACAATCAGCTTTCGAGAGTGTATCTCTCCGCGTTTGAATTTCGCGCCGTGGCCGTCTCTGACACGCCTGGAGCATTCCATCTGCGAAAAAAGATCCGGCGATCTCTCCGTTCTGTAGAACAGATTCCGCTCCCTGTCCCAGTGATGTAGGAGCTCTCATTCGCTTTTCTCTTGGTCGGAGACGTCACTACGGATGTTTCTCACTCGGTCGCTTGGTACGTAATAGTATCACAAAGTACCACCGAGTGGTGGTATCGTCCGCTATTTGTTTCGAAAGATCCTTTTCGACGCCATTGTGAGTGTGGTGTGCACGTTGCCATTGAAAATTTGGCTGAAAATCCGAGATGGGACACGAAAACGTGTGGTATTCGCACCCTAGGAAGTACGGACCTGGCTCCCGTCAGTGGTGAGTTCGAAGAATGATTCATCTGTGCTCCACGAAAGCCCATTCGCCTGACGAGTGACCGTCGTCGTACCTTCAACGTGGTCGACTCACAGCTAAGATCGACCGTCTAACCGGGAATCTTTCTCGATTCGCTTCAGCCGCGTGTGCTCCAACCACCATGGACTGATCCGCAAGTACGGTTTGATGCTCTGCAGAAGATGTTTCAGAGAGTACGCTGGTGAGATCGGCTTCAAGAAGATGGACTGAATATCTCTCCCGGCGTCCGGATGCGGGACACCCAGCAGTTCATGTCAATAAAAGCTATGTCCTGCACCACGTATACCCTGTTCTGTATCGATCGATCGGGTCGAGGCCTCCGGAGAAATCATTGTCGACAGGCCCGCTCCTCCGGGGAGACTTTCCACCCCAGAATCGCGAAATGCTCATGTTGCGAGGGGAAGCCGAGCTCCAACTTGCCTTGTGCTCCCGTCCCGAAGGAAGTTCCTCGTTCCCACAGAGCAGAGAACGGAAGTGGCCATGCATTCCGACGAACCTTCGAATCTATAGCTCCTGATCTGACATGAGTGGATATTCGCTCCTTGCTAATTATTTATTGGAGACGTCAAGTACAGAAGAATATCCTTATGAAGGTTTCGGAGGAACCGGTCGAAACCATCAGTCGCATCCGGACTCCGTTGTATCCGGGAATGGGTCCCGAGTCGGAATGGGACGAGAAAATCATCGGTAACACCGCTGCAGCCTTCCTTTCGATGCAAATAAGGCCTTGCGAATCGTTCAATAGGCTCTCGCTCAGTGGCGTAGCGAGCCGGAGTGCCGCCCGGGGCGGTTATTCGGAATTTTCCGTTTTTCACCGTGCTCGACAAAGATGCCGCCCCCCGCCAGATATTTTTTCCTCGAAAACACTCCGTTTTTTTGGATGCAAAACCTCGGAATGCCGTCCCTAAAAGCTCCGTAGGAAGTGCCGCCCGCCCCCGCCTTACTACGCTACTGCTCTCGCCTCCGAGTTCCCCCCCCGACAGGAATGAGTCCGTTATAATTGATTTAATTAACATAGGAGGAGATGAGACCGGGCCCTAGAAATCAGTCTGCTGTATCCTAAAGCTCGTGATTAGGTCCGCTATAGCCGAGTCACTTAAAGTTGACGATCCCTTTGTCCGGTACCGAGTAATCAGACCCTTCTAACCAAGTGCCCACATGTCCGGTTTGTTGTCACGAGAGTCCTCTTTACTACAATCATTTCAGGACTTATACGAATCATTGGTCCGGGATGGCGGTGTACCAAAACCTTATGGCTTCGTTGAGTCTGTGCTCGAGGAATCAGAGTCTTGTTCCGCACCCAGGACCCCCAGGCTCGACAGACTAGGAATCCAGACGGATCCTCCTCGCGCTCCTGAATCCACTCGTAAATTCTTGTCAGGACAACTCAATTTGACATAGGGACGTGGGAATCGGGATTCCCTTGGCTTGAACGCTATGGAGGATATCGTCTGCGTGATATGAAACTAGACCCAAGGCTTGAGCCTTTTGAGGAACACGACATGATTCCGGAGAACGCTCAAGCGCAGTGATGGCAGTGAAAACTCCACCTCCCACTCGTTGAAAGGGAAGGTCATACAGGGATTCTCGCCCTTCTCCCGGATCCGGTGGGATTTGCCGCGGGATTCATAATGCAAGGCCGTTCTTCTGGGGTAATGGCAATGAATTCTTCTCTCCCCTCCGCATCATGCATTCAGTTAGATCTGCTCGCCAGTCACGAGCACAATGAACCAACAACAGAAGCGGAGACTACATGCCGCCCCCCTTAGTGGGCCGAGAAGAGTGAAGCTGTAATGTCTCATTGAAAGCAACGTGATGCTTTGGGATATGCATACACAATAAGAAGACCGGTCGGAAACCTCCACCGGAGCCAATGTCCATCGACGTCGACATCCCAATCCGTTGTCGATCCACGATCCCGCAGAAAACGGTACATTTAGAGCATTCTCACGGAGGAGCGAGACCTGTCTGGATCTGTTGAAAGGAGCCGTCTCTGAACCCCATTCAGCTGTCTCGCGGAATGCGGTGGAGTCTACTTCCACTTCTCTGTGTGATAAGGCCAAGACAGGCCAACTATGTAGAACGAAGAATTTATCAGCCGCTGCTTCCAACTCAAAGAGTACTCGGAGACGCTCGGCTACGAGCCAGGGATCTGGAGGCAAATCGAGTCTAAATTCCTGAATGGAGGAAAGAGGAGGCGTGAGCGAAGTCTCTTGCCCAGACTCTCTGGTCGATAGCGGAGTCGAATATCGTATACTGTGAAGAGGATTCATCCAGCATACACCGTGCCGGCACCTGGAGCGTGCTGAATCCTGGAGTAATCTCCGCGTTCCGAGGTGAGGTTGCGGACGTCGATGGTGTCAGGAGTGGGTTTTTATGGGGCGTTCCACGTGGGCCTCCGAGTGGCTTTTTATTGAGCATTCAAATCAGAGCTGTCGATCGGGATTTCCTGGAAGGGGTATTTGCACCGTTGGGGTTTCGTGGAGCTCCTCTGTCGATGAGCTGGAAAACGAGTCGAGGTCCGTCCATCAGCCAGGCTCACGCCGGCAACTCTGCCCGGGAGTCGCCTCCCTCGGAGCTTCCGATGTCACATACTCCGATTGCCTCCAGCTCAAGCGACGAAGAAGGCGGGGAATCTGAGTTTGTCAGCTGATTTCACGAGGTAGGATCGAATTCTCCCACACGGGAAGAAGACGGAAGCGAGGCGTAAGGATCGCCACATGGAACTCTTGATGAGAACTCAGATATCTTCGAGAAACTGAATTAGGTCGTCCGAGAGCAACGATGGCTGCGCTCAGGATGTCATCGCTCAATTAAAGTCAAGAAGAAGCTGAGGAAGGACTTTCTCCATATGCTCGAGTTCAACTGTTTCTGATCCTTGCACTGCAGCTTGCTCCTTCGCCCGTTTACCGAGCTCTTGCACGAAGTTCACGAGGAGTTCGTTGATCAATGTCGTAGCTTGAGCCGACAGCGTAGTTTTGGCGTCTTGGAAATGCAGTTTCAGGAGATCTTCGACGGTCTTGGTTTTGAAATTAGCATGGTCTGGTCGTTCGCTCATCTGGAAAAAAATGGTTCCTGCTTCCAGTCTCATATCCATGTAAAAGAATCGGCGGAGGGCCGATGGCTGAGGGCCTTCCAAACTTCGCCTGGAACAGTGTGGCTCACTTCAGGAGAGGAACTTCGAGACTCAAGTCCGCAATGAGACGCCCGTCATGGACCACCCCGGCATTGAGCATTAAACTTCTTCTGCCATTGGAACTCGATTATCAAGCTCGATTCGGAGCTTGGTAAGCTTGGGCTCTATGGACCCATTCTCGGGAACTGAACATACGAAGTGTCGCTGATACCTGAGTAGACCAACTCGAGGGAGACTCCAAGTTGTCGGGTCTTCGGAAGATTCGGGGTCTCATCGAGGAGTGGCTTCGACAAGCGGAGTACCATAGTTGGACAGAACAGAGCTTAGAGCAAGAATCGATCTCGAAATCCTTCTTACCCTGGAATCATGCCTCCGTAGAATCGGAGCAGCAGTCGAAATACATACGAACAGCTTCCCATCGCGAACAGCTGGCTGTCGTTGGCGCGCTGAGGAACAGGCGAGGGAAACGGGCGAGGATGTCTCCGGGCCTCTTCGGAGCTCCTTCGCAAGCGCGGGCGGCGCCGTTTCACACGAAGTCGCTCGGGCGCAATGAGGATGTACTCTGAGAGAGCAAACGATAGAGATTCCTCGTGTTCGGAGAAGGAGCGAGTTTAAGTCTCAATGTAGACAACCATCTGCTGCCTCTAAGGCCGTTCGTGAAGTGATTCCTTCTATTTCAGGAGTGAATGTCACGATTGGGATTCATTCGCTGGAATGGAAGCAGCGGGTACTTTACGAGGCGAGCTCGATTGAGCTCAATAATTATGAGAGTCTTCCCAGCCGTCGGTTTGAGCGTCCCCCGGAAGGAACCGCCCTGCCCTGCCTAGATCCCGAATCCGTGGGAACATCATCCAGCTCCACCAGTCCATTCAGTATCCCGAAATGTAGAAAGCATGAGCAGCTCGGAAAATCCGAGTCACACGCGCAGGAGACCCACGTTAATAAAGCAAGCGGAAGAATACGGGCTCCGGTTTGTAATCCGGATATAGTGCACGAGTTGAAAAACGAAGAATAGAATTAGGCTGGAGGGATCGCGCTCAGACGTGGATGGAGAATAAACCGAAGTTATATTCTCCTCCCTCTTGTCAGAGGTCCCTTTTGCGAAAAGACGTCGTCAATGTTCGTCTCGTACACCTTCCCAAGTAAGTCCGAAACGCACACCTGTGTGTACCCGCACACCTGTACGCTATCCCAAGAACAGAGCAGGAAAACAAGGATGCGTCGTACAAAACATTCAAGCCGAATGAAAACATGCAAGCTGAAGGAACGAGACAGTATCTGCTTGGAACGATTTCTCCTTTTTACTGATTGACCATAAATTACGGGACACTTGGAAAGATTCAAATTTTTGAGAGCTGTTGCGGGCGAATCCCCTTCCCGAGCGAGTAAGCAAGCAAACAATGACGTCTCTCGCTCGAATGAAGTCAATCTACTCGCCCGCTCGTGCCGTTCTGCGAAAGTGCATCATGCAGCGAACGAGGAATAAGTAGGTAGTTGATTTTCGCTCGGGCTTGATGATTTAGCTCTTCCAAGTCTCCTCATTGATCTATCTAACGGATGAAGAATGCAAGAGCGGGCCGATTCTGCCGCTCGACTCCGTCTTCGAGAATCGGGAGCTCGATCAACGTGGGGGGAGAAGGGAATCGCTCGGCTATCGCCGTCTACGATCGCTCCCGATGAGGATGAGATTTGACTAGAGATATTGGGTTTAAAAAAGATGTGGGTGACAAATGAGTCTTAGGGAGGAGTCTCAACCTGAGAACTCAGTCACTCAAACTTCCGCGTTCACATCCTTCAGCTCGAGAGCCCAGGAGATTCTTCTGCCGGGCTTCCTCATTCGCAGCTGAATATTTTTGTCCTAAAAACTCGTGGCCTAGAGTGAGGTCCTCCTGCACAGATACGAATCCAGTTCGGAGACAGGATATCGCAACGAGGGGAATGTACACCTCCGCGAGGAGCTCATCGTTTTGAGCGAACACTGTCCCAGTGTTTCCAGGAACTAAAATCTCGTGTTCCAAAACCGTGATTCTATACATATCTATATATAGTAATTCCACTCGTCTAATTGCATCCGTTAATTCGGTGTCGAGATCATTTAACGAGGAGACCACTATCTCCTCAGATTTCCGCTTGTGCCTCCTGCGTGCTACAGGTGTCCGAATTACTTTGCTCTTCGAGAGGAATCGAAGAGCTGAGAGCTTAGACGGAGGTAGCTCTGTTTGCGCAGATGATGCGCGACCTGTGAAGCGAAATCAATTTAGAGGGCATTCGTGCTGGCTGGAAATGACGAGTGACAGCTGATAAGGCGAAAACATCGACAATAGCATGAGCTCGAGATATTCCGGGAGGAGGGAGAGCAGGCGAGTCATTTACCTCTCATCAGGCTCCTTGTCTTCTTCGTCTTCCCGCAACCAGGTTTTGAGACAATCGTCGAAGGGACGCTCCTCTCCATCGTCTCTGCGATCGGAATCACTCAGGGATTTCTTCAGGTATTCCAACCCTGTGGGGAGAAACATTCAGGTTAGATATCCTTGGAATGTCGGCTCCACCTCATCATCATCCACCTCCGTGGAATCCAAGCCGTGGAATCAGAGCTAAAATGGACGAGAATCGTGACACCATGGGACAGGATTTACGACCTGTTGAACGACGAATTCCTTACCGAAATGTACAAATATACAAGCGATAGCTGACACGACTAGACTGAGCGCGACTAACTCGACGAATGCCACGTACAATGGTTTCACTGAAAGAGGTGCACGAGGAAAAACGTCATTCACTGGTGAACTCAACGCCTTCCGAGCGACTGACCGGCGGCGCAAATCGACGATATCGCCAGAACCGGAAGGGGGCGAAAATTCGATCACTCACTCGGCCTCGGTGGAAGACCGCGAACGTTACTGAGACACGTCGCTTCAGACTCTAGAACCAAGAGGTGCTCTGTATCTCTCCGTCTCTCCCGAACGCAGATCGTTGTGTTTGTGAAGTATTTCAGATCGTCTTCGATCGTTGAATGTTCGCTCGTTCTCCTCGATGCCCTGTGAGGCCGCTCGATCGCGAACGACAGAGCTGCAAACGATGTCGATCCCGGGGACCATTGAAGCCGCACCGTAGATGTTGTGAGCGGTATGGCAGTCAGAGTAGCCGGCGGAGCTGGCACTGGAAATAGAATCGAAATCCGTATGATCCGGGAGACGTCTGCACCGATCTAGCGAGATGCGTCGCCGGATATCAAGGTTGACACCGAGCGCGAAACTTACCTCTGACCATTTCGAAGTTCGAGTCCTGCATCGCTTTGTCCGGAGGGTCGGTCAACTGAGAAGAGAAATAGACTCGGTGAGCGAGGCGGTTCGATTCACTCAAAATAAGCGGGAAATTCTCGGGGGTGAGATTCGTTTGATGAATGGTAGCAACGAGGAAACAGGAAGAGCGAAAAGCCTCCTTTAACCCGAAGCCATCAAGCTATAGTTGATGATTCCGCGGTTTTCCATGAGTATTAAAGCAAAATAACGCAATGGCGTCTTATACGGAAAACAACTATTGATATCTAAGACGAACTCTACGCTAAGATTCCGTCTAAATCCAATCGCTTCAAGGACTCTGGCTGGGGATCGTAGCCTTCGGATATTCTTCCGCTGGAGCCCCCGCGAGTAAGAACATTCATTGTTCCGCGAAAAACTTGAGCCCACTCATACGCTCGACCATGAGATTCCTCGTCTCGTGTAATCTCTGCTGTCGTCAAGAGCGACACGGACTTTTAGATCGCTTCATTCGCTCGTGGCGAAATAAATTGCGTTCCACGTTCTCAGATAGCGATGATCGGAAACTAATTGCAGGACTCCGGAACGACAACCTGATCGCTGACCTTTTATTGCGGGCTCGGCGCCGAGCCGCGCGGTGACGTCGAGCGGCGAGCGCCGCATTGACAAGAAAACCTTCATGCGTACAATCTGGGAGCAGCGATGTGAGAGATCATCAGCTCCAGAGAAAGCTCGGGATTGTGAGTTTCTGTACCGAGCTATCGGAGAATTCGAGATCGCGATCGGATTCCCCTGACTCTTCGGGGGAGAACACTCATTGAGAACATGAAAACATCGATGCCGTCCCAACCGGAAGCGAACAGGCAAATCGGGAACCAATGTAGGCATTTGAAGGTAACGAGACTCTGCACACGACTTTACCGTCAGCCCTTCCGGGAACTCTGAGTGCCCGCAGAGTCCCGAATAATTCTTCTACTCTCCCGGGAAGAAAACTTCCCGCTCCTCGGCCCGGATCAGAAGCCCGCTCTCACAGATTACACGAGCGAGAACCAAGCTCAGCATGAGGATTCGAAGGATTCCTCAGCACTCCTTCGTATTTTGAAGAGATTCTCGCTACGAATGCCGTCCGAACACCGAAGGTTCAGGAAGGGGCTCCCACCAGGGGCGGGCAATCTAATCAAAAGCCGATCCACTCATCCAGTGAGGGGTGACCACCATTTCCGTTCAATCGAGAAGACTGTGGTTCCGGAGGATTGAGACCCGCTGTTAGCTCCTCGGCAAGATGAAGCCAGCTTCCGGAAGACGTGGCGAACGCTGCGGGCGTGCGGAGCCCTCATGAACGGTTTTCTCGTCGGGAGCTCAATATAGAGAACTGCGTCTCGAGATTGATGCGGATCAACATGTCGAGATCCGATACTGGTCTTCGAGTTCGAAAACCCGTGGGACTACCGTGCGACGTGAAATGACGTTTCGAAACGCGATGGAGTCAATTAGCGATAAGTTGGGCTATCCCCACTGTCTGCCGATCCGTCACTGACTCCAGCGACCTGATGAGCGACGCCGCCGAAACCCGCCGCATGACAGACATGCAGGTGGAATTACTACGCTACGACGGAGCTCTACTCTCGAGAGCACGAGCTGCGCTGCGGCGCATGTTTTCTATAACTCGATTCCAATAACTCAATCGTCTGAGAATGGAACTGGAGCTAGAGACTCAGTGTGCGCCAACGGGGATCGATGTACTATGCTTGTTTCCCGGCTGGCGAATGGATGTTCGTCAGCAATGCCTCAGGGATCAGAGCCGAATGATGAACTCTATTATAGCAAGATTAGAGTTCGCGACAAACAGACAGCCAGCATTCATAAATTGTTTATTTTTCCTGTAGCCAGCACATCATCTCATCGTGATAAAGGCGACGAGATTAGTTCCATCCGCACCGCAATGCGACGGCTAGCGTGTTGACATCGCTCGTGAATCCTTCATCTGACTGCGTACGAGGACTTCACTTTCGCTGGATTATTAGTGGGAAACACGACGTAAGACGCACGTGCTTCGGAGACGGGAGTCACGGTCAATGAACGTCAAGGCCATCGGGGAGAGCGAGGTTGATAGAGTTCAAATAATCGACTTCCCGACTAGTTACGCTTCCAAGGGAGCGTCATAATAGTCCGTTGGGCAGTTCACTGGATAAACAAACATATCATCGTTCCCTAGATGTTCGCCGTAGCTTGACAAGGTCTTCTCCTCAAGTTTCGCGCGCCTTAAACCATCTCGTAATCGATTCCAGACAAAACAAAACAACCTGATCCCGCTCTGTGGTCTAATAATTGAGCTCCACTAATGATTTGCGGCGATTTCGCGGCGCCGTGTCAAGTCAGAGGAAGTTTATTTGCGAAGCTCTGGCGCGTGGAATGTCATCCATGGGGATCATCTTGGAGAATGGAAGCTCCTACTCAGGACATACTCAGGGTACTCAGGACACTCAACGTCTGATCGAGGCATTGGAGGCGTCTGATGAGTTCGAATGGAATCATTCGGAGATCGATGCGGTGATCCGATGATCGACAACTTTATTCGCCAGAAAGCCGCTCGGACTCCTTCGGATTCTCGAGCCTGTCCGGCGCTTGAAGCGCGAAATCGGAGGATCAGGATCGCAGAGCGAGAGATGCCCCATAGCGAGAATGTACGAGAATTGGTATGGCAGACTCGTCGGCTTCTGCGGTATTTTTGGAAAACTGTCATGTCGGAGTTGTTTACGGAACAAATTTCGGAATTTGTCCCGGCCATTTTCTCCCTTTCCGGGTCGTAGGATCGCGGTGCAGCGAAAGAAGTGGGCAGCCGACTATTGGCCAGTCCGGGGATTGAACATCCCGGATTTCTTCCAGTTTCGAGCCAATCCCCGAGAATCTCCTTTTTGACGGGTCTCGTCACGTCCCACAGTGGTCGGAAACCACGGTAAATCATAACTTCTGAACGGCTGGACCGATTTCGCTGAAATTTTTATGGTGGGCTATTGGGCCTAAAAGGCAACTTTTGAGATTATAACTGGGTCTGGGTTTGACCCCGGTGACCCCGAGAATTGGAATTTTAGCTTTAAATCGGCGATTGCGGCTAAACGGCTGAACCGATTTCGGATTTCTTGGTCGCGTTGGGAAGCTGAGTGAATTCATCTTTTTGTCTCTTGCGAGTTCGACCTATGACCTTCCCTCAGCGAGCTAGCGGTCGATTCAAAGGAGCGCCGATATCTCCTCGAAAAATGCTTCGTTTTTCACTCGCGAATTGGATGATCTAACCGTTTCTGACAATAATACAATCATTTGGTGAAGACGAAAAAAATATTTTTTTTTCAAGTCAAAAATCACGTTTTGCTGCAGTTTTTTCACGAAAGTGCCCCACCCCTCTAGGTCCCCAGACCCACCAACATTTTTTTATGATGCCCCCCACGCCCCCGCATTACATTAAGGTCATATTGGGCACCCATTCCGGGATTATCTACCTTTAAATCCGGAAAAACCCTTTAAATGGCAATTTTTCAAAGAAAAAAAATTCTCAAAATTAATTTCAGGGCATTTATTCGCTAGATCGGCTTTATTCTTGTAGGGAACCGCGCAAATCAACTCGGGACTTTGAATTCGCCGCCAGCGACGAATGTATTCGTCTGACGCGTCCGACGAGCACATTTCCTTCGTGCGGTAGCCACGGGGATCGGTCTGATTCGATTTGAGGTTCGTCATGAGGATTTTATGCTCTTCACCCGCGAATTCAGAAGAGTCTTTCTCATCGACCTGACGGGATTGCTTGATCGATTCATTCACGGGCGCATCGTTCTCACAAGAGTCACCCCTCGACCTGATCAAATCAATAAAAGCTCTGATTTCGTGTTCAACTTCAGAGAAGTAACTGCGAGTTTGCGAGGGCCTTCTTCGATGAGACGGTGACGCTTCGATGCTGTGGGGAGGCTGAGCCTCCGACGCTGCCCTCGCCACGGGGAGCACGCCGCGAAAGTCCATACGCGTGCAAGTCTCTTCAATGATTTCCATTCGACTTTGGATATCGCTGCACTTTTTCAAAATTTCTTCAAGAATTCCCAGAATGGGTCTCATCCTACTCTTCTCAGTTTTTTTTGGTCCAGACTCGCGCCCTTTGAAACAGAGAAAGGACAGAAATCCTCGATGACGGCTGGCGCCCCGTGTTTTGACGTAGGACTGCGTCCTAGGTCGCGCAGATATAGGGGCACTGCAAAAAGTAAACCAATGCAACGGAAGTAGTGTAACGGATATCGAAACTACTAAGACCCGCCCACCAATCAGGAAGTCTTATCCAGAAATGTATCACAGACCGCCACCGCCATTGGTCAATCCCTTCCGAAGAACGCAGCAGACGCTCCAACAAGCACACATAACTACTTCGGAATATGTACTGCCATTCAGTCAATTCCTCACGTCGGGGCCCTATACCGGCGCTCTTTTCAACAGGGTGGTTGAGAGAGCCAGTACAGGTACGAGCACGCGTGGTGCTCGACTTCGGAGCCTTGCGACGGATGCAGGCTTGCGCCATGTTGACCTCGCGATCGTCAGGGAGACCCTGGACTCATCTGGCCAGACATGGATGCTGAGGCTCGTCGTCCGTATCGTGAGCAGGCAATTCGAGAACGCTCACCTCCCAGGCCCCGCAACCGCGCGGAATGTGTTGCCCGCAGGGAGAAAATGGGGAGGCCAGTCTCTGAGCCCTCTGCCAGTCCGGAAAAACTGACCAAACAAACTCACCGTCTGCAATCGGAACAAAAGGGGGTGCCCATGCCAATGAGACTCTGTATTTTACCAAACCACTTTCTGTTGAGAGAAACGATAAGGGAAACAGAAAAACGAGAAAAGGGAAACGCGACACGACCGATGCTCGCAATAACGACCGCGAAGACGAGCGTGAGCTATCTGTAGATCTTTTGAGTGGTTAGAATATCTTCTCCCCACTATGAGCCCTAAAAAACATGTCCTGATTTAGAGGGCAAAAGGCGTTCCATTTGTGACGACTCCGAAGCGAGACTCGATCGAATT